TGTTTCCTTCGAATAGATCTGAATTTACCATTATAAAAAATAGTTGTTCACTTTACCAATAGCAGTAGTGCTATCACAACGAATTAACACGGGAGCAATTGGTTTTTCCCAAAAAGGGATTTCATTTAACAATTGTCTCAACCAATTCGCTTCCTCACATACTAAAGTTAACGCTATAAGTTCAACTTCTATAGTAGAATTAGCAATTATGGTCTGTTTTTTAAACTTCCAACATATAGCACCACCAACCAAGGTAAAAATAAAACTCAAGGTAGAGAGAGAATCACCTGACAAAGTGTTCCAATCAGCATCACTATACCCCTCAAGTACCGCAGGATATTTGTTATAAAACAAACCATAATTTTTAGTACCAGATAAATATCTCATAATTCTTCCCATGACTAGCCAATGATCTCGACTTGGCTTGCTAGTAAACTTGCTAAGTGCTCCAACAGCATATGCAATGTCAGATCTAGTACAATCAGTAGCATATCTCAAACTACCAATCATTCTAGCATATTCTTTTTTATTAATCACTTCTTTTTCATTTGTTACAACAGATAAATGTATGCTTACATCAAAAGGAGTAGCAACATATTTACAGTCTAGAAAATTATATTTCTTTAAAATTTTCTCAACATAATGCGACTAATAAAGAAAAATGTCATCTTTAGTCTTGGTAATTTTAATTCCCGAAATAAAATTGACCTCACCAAGATCTTTCATATCAAAATGGCTATTAACCATATTTTTAGTCTCATTTATGATATGCAAATTAGAGCAAAAGATAAGTAGATCATCCACATATAGGCTAATAATCACATGTGCATTCTCACAAGTTTTATAATATATGCACTTGTCGCATTCATTAGTCTTATAGCCATTCTCAAGCATGCAGGAATCAAATTTCTCATGCCACTGTTTAGGAGCTTGTTTTAAACTATAAAGGGATTTAGTTAGCTTACACACCTTGCTTTCTTGGCCAAGCTCCACAAAGCCTTCGGGTTGGTCCATGTAAATCTCCTCATTTAGATCTCCATTTAAAAATACTGTTTTTACATCCGTTTGATGAATTTTTAAATCATGAATTGCAGCCACTGCAATCAACAATCTAATAGATGTAGCTCTAGTAACCGGAGAAAAAGTATCAAAGAAATCAAGATCAACTTGTTACTTGAAACCTTTAGCGACAAGCCTCGTTTTGTATTTATCTATAGTTCCATTCGGTTTAAGTTTTTTACGAATGACCCATTTACACCACAACCTGGAGGTAAATCCACTAGCTTCCATGTTTTATTTGAAACTAGTGAATCTATCTCATCATTTACAGCCTCTCTCCAGAAAATAGCATTAAGTGATGATAAAGTTTCTTGCAGCGTAAGAGGAATTTCTTCCACATTATAAAGATAATAGTTAGGGCCAAAATCTTTTTCAAATCTAGCTTGTTTACTCTTCCTTGGTTGAATTTAAGAATTTTCTTGTTCTTGAAAAACTTGAGATGGAGTAGAAGAGCTAGGCACGGATAAAATATTTTTAAAAATTATTTGACCCTCACTATTTCTAGATTTGAAAGGAAATTTATTTTCATAAAAAATAGCATCACCTGATTCAAAAACAATATTATTTTTCATATTAAAAAATCTATAAGTTATACTATGCAACACATACCCAAGAAAGCACAGGTGGTAGCTCATTCACCCAATTTAGGTCTTTTAGGATCTGCAAGCCTCACAATGCAAGCCTCACAAAAGCTAAACAACCCCAAACCCTCAAATAACTTAGATTTGGTTTATGCCCCCGCCACAACTCATAAGGTACAATTTTAGTCTTTTTGTGTGGCACTCTATTTATCACATGGTAAGCTATCAAAATAGCATCGCCCCAAAGATTTAAGTGAGCACCTTAATCAATAAGCATAGTATTCGTCAAGTCAATTAACGTTCTATTTTTTCTTTCAGCTACGCCATTAGATGAAGGTGAATATGGCGGAGTAGTCTCATGAATAATTCTCAATGACTGAACAAAAGAGTTGAATCCAAGAGATTCATACTCCCGGCCTCTATTACTTATAATTCTCTTAATCTTTTTACCGAATTAATTTTCCACTTCAAGAACGAATTCTTTAAATTTCTCAAAAGCATCACTTTTATTTTTTAATAAATATACGTTTGTGTATTTTGAAAAAATCAACAATAAAAGTGATAAAATATCGGTTACCACCCCGAGTTAAAATTCCTTCAAACTCACACAAATCAGTATGAAATAATTCTAGCAATTCGGTATTTTTTTCAACACTTTTATGAGGCCTCTTAGTAATTTTTGCTTTACTGCAAACTTCACATTTCTCAAATTTTTTGTCACTTTAGGAATTAATCCTAAACTAATGATTCCCACATATTTACTGTTAATATGACACAAGCGAGCATGCCAAAAATTTATAGAAGATAACATGTAAACCGAATTGTAGATGGTTTATTAATCTCAACATTCAATTTGAACATTCCATCACAAGCATAACCCTTACCCACAAAAATACCCTTCTTGGTAATCACATGTTGATCAGATTCCATAGTTTGCTTAAAACTAGCCTTATTTAACAAATAACTTAACATCAAATTCTTCCTCATGGATGGTGTATAAAGCACATCTTTTAAAGTAAGCACACGTTCTGAGGTGAACTTAAGGTCAACCTCACCACTCCCAAGTATCTTGGTTTGACTAGAGTCACCAAGCATAATTGTTTTCTCATCATCAAAGGGAGTATACACATTGAACCAAGCTTGATCATAACAAACATGTCTATTAGCACCAGAATTTGCCCACCAACCATCCACATAATTAACCATGCAAATGTCTGTAATCATTGCCACAAATGGCTCCTCGATAACGTTAGCCTTTGGGACAAGTGCACGTTTTCAGAATTTGCAAGTTCGAGCAATATGCCCACTTTTGCCACAGACAAAGCATGTAAAATTTTGTGGAGGTGATGGACCTTGGTTCTTATTTGGATTAATCCATTTATTGTGAGGTTTACCATAATTCTTCATATTCTTTTTGTAAGGCTTCAAATAAGCATTCTTGGAATTGTGACCTTTGGGTAAGTTATTACTTGCTGAAACAAAGTTTACCTTTGTGGTAGAATTGTCATTACCCGCTTGTGTTATTAATGCATCTTGGCCTCTAGCCTCCTCTTCGACTCAGATGTGAGTGATCAACGCCTCTAAGAAAGTCTCCTTTTGTTTGTGGCGCATGCTCTTTTGGAATTCTCTCAAAGATGGCGGTAGCTTGTCAACAAGTCCTGCAACTACCAAGTTGTTACCAATCTTGATGCCTTTAGATCTTACTTTTGCAACTATCATTTGGAAATCTTGTGCTTGCTCCACAATAGATTTTCCATCCACCATTTGGAAGTGAAAAAAAAGGCTAGCTGCATTCTTTTTTGCTCATGCCTTTTCAGTATCATACTTAGTCTGTAAAGCTTTCCAAATTTTCTTTGCGGAAGTGTAAGTGGTGTCATGGTAATCATAAAATTGATCAATAAGGCAATTTAAGAGATAAAAGCGACATTTATACTCATTTGTATTATAGGAAGCCACTTTTGCTTCATGTGCCTCGCAGTCTTCATCAATCATCTTCTCGGTTGGGATTTTGTTTGTGTTCTTCTCGGTAAGAACATATGCAACTTTCAAAAGACTAAGGTAAAAAAGAACTTTTCCTTTCCACCTCTTAAAATAAACTCCCTTGAACTTGAAAGGCTTGTTGAGATCTCCAATTCCATCATTGGTTTTTTCTGGTGCTTGATCCATGTTTGATCTCCTTAAAATTGTTGGTGAAAATACTAGAAAAAATTATATTTTGTTGATAAATAATGCAAAGAAAATGAGATACAAATAGATCAGGCTGAGGCACAGATATCTCATTTTCTTTAAAGAGATTAAGCCCACTGTGGTAGGAAGAACCCAAATACCAATGTAGCAGTCACAAAACTATGATTTGTCCCCTCTAGGATACAACAGCCCGACTACTTGTCGTATGGCTCAGGCCAACTCTACAGAAGATAGTGAATCCAAAGCTCCACCAAGAAAAACACCATTCTTTGCTAGTAATCTCTCTTGTATAGAAAATAATTGGTGTGTTCGTATAGAAAAGAGTAGAAGAGAAGAACTATTTATAGGCCATTAGGACCTTACAAATTACACCAAAAATAATGATGATCATTAAACTAGAGAAAATGGAGAGACTCTAAATAATAACTCACCACCAAGTTCATGAAATCTAATTAATCTCTATTCATGAACAAGACAAAAGGTCACCAAAACAATGAATCTCCATTCATGAACAATATGAGATTCAAGAATAAAACAAAAGAAGATTCATGAACAAAAAAATAAAAATAAATAAATGATATTAAAATAATTCAACAGTCGCTCTTCTTCTAAAGTAGCTTTTGCAAATATCTCCAATTCATTATCAGAACTATAGTCATCAATAATATTACACTATTGCGAGCCATGGAAATTAAAAGAATAATGAAACTGAGAGATAAACTACTGAAAATAAATATTAGGTTCTGTTTTGCTTTTTAAGCTTTGTGAATTCCAGCCTAACAACTTCAATTTTCTGCAAAGTCAAATTTATAAAACAAATATTATAAATGGATATAGTTTATTTTGTTATTTTGAAATAAAAATTATTTATATAAAAAATTAATTTGGTCTGATATCAATAAGCACATTGACTTATCATATTTTGTTTTATAAGTGTTTTGTTTTATGAAATAAATAATAGATATAATTTTACATTAAGATGTTCACTTTATAAAAAAACCATGATAAATTAATATGTATAATAATATTCGATCAAATTAAAATTTTGTATATCGCAATTTCTCTTTGATTACTATTATGAATCTCATCGGGCTCACAAAGTGAAATCTTTAAGGATATAACAATGACGAAATCTTATATGGATAAAATAAAAATGGCAAGAAGTAGTGCAATCAAGCGGTTTATGAGCCTCACACAGCTGGAAGGTATTCAGTCAAGCAGTTTAGGAAGGCCCAGTGCCCAATTGTGGAGAGGCTAACTAACTCTTTGATGATGCACGGGCGGAACAATGGCAAGAAGCTGATGGCGGTCCGCATTGTCAAGCATGCTATGGAAATAATCCATTTGCTAACTGACCTAAACCCTATTCAAGTCATTGTTGATGCTGTGATCAACAGGTATCCAAAATTGATTTATGTTACCTTATTTAGGATGATAGTTCAAGATAAATTATTCAGTGCTCCTAGAGCAAGTCTAGGTGGTGCGGTGCTCCAAATTGATAGCTATCGTTTTTGTGTTGGGAGTTTGAGGAGACGATATAAAATGTGTCAATTAGTAATCAGAGTGGAAATTATCCATTTGCTAACTGACCTAAACCCTATTCAAGTCATTGTTGATGCTGTGATCAACAGGTATACAAAATTGATTTATGTTACCTTATTTAGGATGATAGTTCAAGATAAATTATTCAGTGCTCCTAGAGCAAGTCTAGGTGGTGCGGTGCTCCAAATTGATAGCTATCGTTTTTGTGTTGGGAGTTTGAGCAGACGATATAAAATGTGTCAATTAGTAATCAGAGTGGAGCATTGCTCCAAGAGCACCTAATAATATTTTGATAGTGAGAGCTTAGCTTCACTTACTGGCTGAATAAACTTTACTGCTTCCTTTCATACATTTGGACACTTGGTAGAGTGATGCACTTAGGTTGCCTTCTTGTTCTTTTAAATTCTCATTATCAAGTTCATAGAATTATGCACTTAGGTTGCCCTCTTGTTCTTTTTGGTGGCATCATGATTTATTTCGTTTCACTATTAATACAGTGGACCAAGAGAAGATGCTACTCGAATTGGTTCTGCTGGTGTCATACGGCGTCAAGCTGTTGATATTTCCCCACTGAGGCGTGTTAACCAAGCAATATATCTCCTTACAACAAGAGCTCGTGAAAGTGCATTCAGAAACATCAAGACCATCGTTGGGTGCCTTGCTGATGAACTCATTAATGCTGCCAAGAGGTCTTCCCACAGGTACAGAAGGGCTAGTTTTGGTTTTTTCATATATTATTAACAAGGACCGAGCTTTTATTGGTTGATTCATCCTTCTCACTCTCCCATTAGTTTTGTTTTTATTCTTAGTAATTCATTTTGTGAGCTAATAATAATTTGATTCATCTACTTGGTGGCCCTCTCTATTTTGGGGTATATGCAGCTATGCTATTAAGAAGAAAGATGAAATCGAGAGGGTTGCAAAGGCCAACCGTTAAAGAGTGGATGTTGGTGGTGGAATGGAGAAAGCATACAGTGATGAGATAATTTTGTTTATTGTGCTTTCTAGTTATAATAGGTGCTAGGAATATGGAATTGCTAAGAAACATGTATGTCGGCTGAAGTATTTACTGTTTTTTCATGGATTTGGGTTCTTTCTCTAGTGTGTTTTATTTAGTTACAATTGTATTGTTATCGAGTATATTGACTTTGGAAGTTTTATTGTTAAGTTTTTGACCTGCAGTTTTGGTGAGCACTGCTTTTTGTGTTCCTATTTTCCAGTTTAAAATTCTTTGCACTGCTTTCTGCATGCTTCAGTGGTAGTATTTTGCTGTACATCTTGCAGCTTCTTTTGCATGTCTACTATGAAATGTATACTTTTTATCACAAAAAAATATAATTTTGGTTATTCAAAATTGAAGAACACTTCTCAGAGAATTTTTCAGAAAATAGATGTGAGTGATTATAAATCAAAGAATATTTTATGATTTTTTTGTAACTTGTTTACATTAGAGGCTTTGGTATATATTGTCACGACCCGCTCCTCGTACCCAAAGGTTAAGCATCGTGATGGCCAGTAACTGAGGTTACCTACGGCCAATTCTTAAACAAATCAAATAACGCGAGCGGGAGTAATATTTAAATAAGGATACCAAAATAATCATCGGAGCTTCTATTTTTATTACAAAATATATTGACCAAAAATGTCGATATTTACATTGAAAAATATCATAAGAGTGTTGTGTGTGTCTATTCTGCAGCCCCGCATCTGAGACTTTTCAAAAACTATTTCTGAGTTGCATTATTTCCTGAAAATTGGTAAACATCTATAAGCACATGGCAGAATGAGAAATATTATACCAAGAGTATAAGGGACACGAAATAACCATGGATAGTTAGTTAGGCCAAAATATTTACATAACCCAATTTGGTAAGTAAATCATTGGTAAGCAAATCATTTAAGTAGCAGAAACTAAAATACAAATATTATGTAAGTAAATGACCATAACCACGGTACAGAACAGAACAGAGGTCACAGAAGTGACAGTCAGAACAGAGATATAGATTCAAGAGGTGACTCGTACGGATTTTAGAGGTGGCTCCCACGAAAATGTAGCACTTAGCTCCGCACAGCACTTTGGTCCGCACAGAACAGAGGTACGGATTCAAGAGGTGGCTCGTACGGATTCTAGAGGTGGCTCCCACAATAGTGTAGCACTTAGTTCCGCACAGCACTTTGGTCCGCACAGAACAGAGGTCAATGGATCAGAGGGCCACAAAGTAACCAAACCGAGGCCAATGGTTATTGAAGTCCCCCAAGGCGTGGGACTCCCGTGGTAGTACTTACAAAACATAATTGTATATAAGGTCATAGCCAAATATTCTTTAAAAATAAAACAAACATATCCATGAGTTTCCTTTTAAGCAAACAGGGTTCAGAAATAAAACCACGTAACTGAAACATTTATAAAACATAACTTTTATTAATATACTAATAAAACATAACTTGTATAAAACAGATTTTGATAAATCAAAATATACGTAAAATATATTTTAGTAACTTAAGGTATAATATAACTCACCTTAACTTTAATACTTTACTCTTCCTTTCCACTACTAAAAACTCTTTTCACCTTCCACTATTTTTTCCTTCTTCCTCTCTTTTCTTTCTTTCCTTTCTTTCTTCTTTTTCTTTTCCTTTCTTCTTTTTCCTTCCTTTCTTTCTTTTGTTTTCTTCTTTCCTTCTCTCCAGGTGAGACGCCTCCTCCTTAAATAGAGAGGAAAAATCACTCTCCGACCAACACGTGGCTAGACATCGCTTTCCCACCGGTTTAATTCATAATATTATAAATTCCTTCTTATCCTTAATAGATATTTCAGATAATCACCTTTTGACCTAATATTTTAATATAATTATATAAATAAAATAATTTTTAATTAAATTACACTTTATCATATATTAACAGAAAATAAATTATTTATTTATTTTACTACCACACTCATTATTATTATTATTATTATTATTATTATTATTATTATTATTATTATTTTGACCTCTAAACTTTTAAATAATTATATTATTTTACAAAATTACGCATAATAATATATAATAAATTATATAAGAGAGAGATAATGCCTCGTCCATCATGCGTGATTGCACGAAGGATCGAGGCATGATACATTTGAGAAAATACATTGCTATGCCCCTTTCCTGCTCTCTGTTGCTAGCAAATCAAGATCACGGCTTCGAGGCTTGGCACGCATTTCAAGAACAGGTGCAAACAGAGGGCTAATTGGGGCATCGTCATGGATTTCCGCGCAAAGGCAACCCAGGCATGCATCATTCATCATCCGGAATGGAATCAAGGCAGTCCCTGGCTTGCATGCCAGTTATTTATTTTCTTAGTTAATTTGTTAATTAATTAGGAATTTGTACATATTTAGGACTGTAATATTTATTTGGACTGTACTATTCTTTTATTCGGGACTGTATATTTATTCGGACCCTCTGCGCGAGGGCAATGTTGTAAAAAGTGTGCGTGAGTGTGATGTATGTCTTCCAACCCCACGTCTTTCTTCCTTTTTATTTACCTGCTTATGATGGTTAGATAGGGCATATTTCAATTAACATACAGTATGATAGCATGTTTGCATTCATTCATCTGTTTTGCATGCACCGGGCTCGGCGCATCATACAACTGCATTTTATATTTCAATTCCAAGTTGAATACATGTTAGCTGTAGCATTCCATATGCCATGTTTAGAATAGCCGAGCCTGCTATAGTTTGCATTTTTGCATGTGTTGCATTAGGCATTTCTGTATACTTAGGATCATGCATGATTTCTAATTAGTTTCTGTTTTGGCTTGGAGTACTCGGTGAGTTTTTATGCTTAGCATCCTTGCATGCGTGCGAGTGACTGCCATGAATAGCATGCTTACCATGAGGCTTATGCTTATGTGATATAACTGCCTGAATGCCTGTGGGTGAAGGTTGGGTTATTTGATTGGAACAATTCATCAAATGTTCGTTTTAAGCCCACTAGATAGTGGCAAAACCATTGTTTTCTAAGCCCACCCGAGGGTGGCAAATCCACGTCTTAGCCTACCTGCGGGTAGCACCATCAAACCATTTCAAACAAACAAACATGAAATGTTTTTGTTCCAATTCAGGCGACTCAGTCTATACTTGTGCTGTGCGCGACAACATAGTACCTAGGCTAATAACCGGAATAAGAAACACACATGTTTTCAAAACTTGATATCATGGTTAGTAGAGGCCGACTTTGATCGGGGAGCGGGGGTGCTCACGAAGTGACCTTCCCCAATCGTACCCAAGTTCCCGAGCGAGGCAACTTTGGTTGATGAGCGACACGTGGCCTTAGGCAACGAGTCAGGGTTTCCTGAATTTTTCAAAATAAATATTTAGGTGGCACTCTGTATCTGGCAAAGCAGTCCATGTTTGCACTTCTTTCAAAAATCTGTTTTCTCAAAAACGATTTGCCGGATTTGGACCTTTGGTTCAGATTTAGAAATGTGGCAATTTGAGATCCTGAGCTGTAGTGACCCCAATATGAACAGAAGGGAGCACGTTCCTCCCGGGGCGTTTCGGGGACGTCTACAGTGGTTTATCTTCTGAACCCTATTTGCTTAAAAGGAAACCCATGAATATATTTGTTTATATTTTAAGAGTATTTGGCTATGACCTTATATAAAATTATGTTTGGTAAGTACCACCACGGGAGTTCCATGCTCTGGGGGACTTAAATAACCATTGGCCTCTGTTTGGTTACTTTGTGGCCCTCTGATCCATTGACCTCTGTTCTGTGCGGAGTAAAGTGTTGGTGGAGTAAGTGCACACTATTGTGGGAGCCACCTCTAGAATCGTATGAGCCACCTCTTGAATCCGTACCTCTGTTTGTGCGAATCAAAGTGCTGTGCGGAGCTAAGTACTACACACTATCATGGGAGCCACCTCTAGAATCTCGTAGAGCCACCTCTTGAATCCGTACCTCTTTTCTGCTGTCACTTCTGTGACTCTGCCTGTTCTGTTCTGTTCTGTATCGTGGTTATGGTGATATATTTACATAATTATCTGTACTTCAGTTTCTGCTACTTAAATGATTTCTGCTACTCAAATGATTTTTTTATGTAAATGTTTTGGCTACATAATTATCCATGGTTATTTCGTGTCCCTTATACTCTTGGTATAATATTCTCACTCTACTACATGTGCTTATAGTTGTTTACAAATTTTCAAGGAACATGCAATTCAGAAAGAGTTTTGGAAAGTCTTAGATGCGAGGCAGGAGGATAGACACACACACAGCACTTTTATGATATTTTTCTATGTAAATATTGACCTTTTTGGTCAATAATCCTGTAATAAAAATAGAACTCCGTGATTATTTTAGTACCCTTATTTAAAATATAATTCCGTCGCGTTATTTGATTTATTTAAGTTGGCCGCGTAGATAACCTCAGTTCCTGCCCCATCACGATACTTAACCTTTGGGTACGGGGAGCGGGTTGTGACAAATGGTATCTGAGCAATGGTTTTTTTTTTTTTTTTCTTTTCTTTTTTTAAAAAAAAAACATCATTGGAGCATAGGACACCCGCACATGTAAGAATTGGGATAAGGTAATTAGTACGAATTATTATATTTTGTTCGTCGATTTAATTATATTATAATTTTATATGATTATAATATATAATAATAATTTTTTTTTAGTGTGCCTAATTTGTGAGGGATATTAGATATCATTTATATTTGTTATAGCAAAAAAAAAAAAAAGAAAAGAAAGAAACAATGGATGT